ACTCGGAACATAAGTAAACAGAACAGCACGCCTCTGAAATATGTCATCTTTGTTTGTCTCATACAGGTAACAGATTCATTGTCCTTTATTAGCTATAACCGATGTTGCCAAATGGTGAAATAGAAACGAATCCCTTTAAATGTTGAATGCATTATTTCATTCCTCTTTTTTAAGTATTTTAATAATTTTTTAACTACTCTACTCAACTTTTATATACCTAAGTTACATCCTCGGTTGATTATGATCGCAATGACACAGAAATAAACGCGAGAGAGTGCTAGTTAGGTACCTATTCAGTTCTAGGAAACAAATCAATCATAGACAGTAACGCCATCTCTTAGCAACAAGCGGAAATACCCAATTATTTTTGTTGAGATCAATAGAGTTTTCCACTCGCTTCGAGTCTAGACTAGAACCTTCCTTATCGATATAAAAGGAGCACATAGGCGCGATGTGAGAGTGTTGAGTCGAGTAATCGAAGCAATACGGTCGGAAAAGAATTCTTGTTGTACTGAGGCTGTAGGAAAATCAGGTAAAAAATTAAACTTTAAATGTTGAATGCATTATTTCATTCTGTTTTTTAAGTATTTGAATAATTTTTTAATGAAAAAGGTTGAAATGATAAGTTTAAAATGCGTTGTTTTAGAGCTATTCAATGAAAACTTCTTGATTTTGGTCAGGAGGAACATTCCCCATTGAATAAATGAATTGCATAGAAATGAAACAGTTTTTGAATCATAATTGTACTTTTGCATAACAATGTCCGTCAAACAGGAATCATAAATGGTAAACCTTAAAGAATGAATTCATAACAATAGATAATCAAACCATCAATCAGTGGTGAGTTACAGATCCACAATCAGCTACATTCTGTGAAATCAGCTAAGTTTCATAATAATAATATGTCTTTCTTATTTTCTTCGGTTAATCTAATAATATTTCAGTTAGGGCTTCCAATCCCTGAATACTGAGATCTCGGTATTGCGGGATTCCGCAATACGGCGCGGCGCAGTCGCGCGACTATATCGTTAGTATGTGATGTAGTTTGCCCTTCACCATCTCGAGCTAATACACTTGAATCCATTATAAAAAAAGAAATGACTCTCTTGGAATGGGGGTCAATGGGGAAATATCTTACATTCACATATAAAGCTTTAAATGGATTAGTGTGGCAATATCGCCTCCAAAATACGTAGTAGTTTGGCAGACGATCCTTTAGATATGTTACGTTTCCTTGGCAAACATTTTCAATTGAATGCTGACAAAATGACCAAACTAGAATCGAAGGGACAATAATAATTTAAATGGAAACGTTTTTTATTGGTTTAATAAATAATTTGAAGAGAAAAAGTTTTAATTCAATCAGTGATTTCAGTCAATTTGTTCATGTATCATGAGCTGAGATTACGAATTTTTTTCTACTGTGGAATGCATGTGGCATGTTAAATAAAATTTTTCAACCCAAGCCTGCTATCTGAATTTGAAATCAGCAACTACTGATTTATACTTTCTGGTTACTTCTGTAGTTTCAAATGAAATGAGGGGCAGACTTCGAATAGAATAAACAGCATTTAATTTTTATAAATCTGGAATATATATCAGAAAAGGCATGTAATTACTTCTCTTCCTCTCAACTTTGCTTTTGTTAGTATATCAGATGTAAACATCTTCATTTGAATACGAAAATATCTCAGAAATTTATCATTCTCTACAGAGCCCAAAACATTCCTTTGTAAATAAAATATATCAGTTTACCTTTTTGTAATGCTTTTTCAGCTTTTGTGACAATTTGGAGATGAGGATAAAAAACCTTTTCAGATAATTTATACATACAATACATAGTTGTCAATGGTGACATGGTCACATTATATAAATAATGTGCTAGGAATCGCACGTTAAAATGTAAGATCTCGCACAAGTTTTGACTTCTGAGCGATGGTTAACTGAAAAACAGATTTTTAACAGATAATGTGATGAGATAATGAATGAGCATTTGATAATTCGTCATGCTCATGATTTACGATATGGAGTATCATTCACTATTTCTTTAATGTTAGGAAATCATCAGACGTGTAGGAAGGCTAGGTTAGGTTAGCTTAAAGACAGTTTGTGCACAGTTTGGACACAAAATCGATCGCTTAGTCGGCGTTTATTATGTGGATAAAATGTCTTATTAAAGTACACATTTTTTCTCGAGCAGCTAGTCGCTTGGAAAACCGCTACTTCTTTTGGTAAAAAAAAAGTTTAATTTCTGAACAGGAATAAATCCCAATAACAAGACATTAATATCATTAGCAAGCATGTTACAGTTTCATATCTGCCCATAAGTCTAAACAAACGTCGTTCAGTTTCTAGCTGTCAAATATGCACAATTAAACACCCAAATATTAGTGAAGAAAGTAACTAAAATAGTTGTTTTCATACAAATTATTCGTTTATTTTAATTTATTTGTCTATTTCTTATACTTTTTTTTTACTTAATGAAATAAAATAATTTTCTGTTGTCAAAGTCAGTCAACATTTTTAGAATTTGATTAAACTGACTTAAGATCATTGTGGCTGTTAAGTAAATCACCATTAATATTATATTAACAATAACGTTTAGTGTCAATCAATCCTCTCGTAAGAGTTTTCCAAATTTGTATCATTGAAATGTTATGAATTAAATTATTTGTGATTCATCTTTTTTTTTAATATTAATCTATTATCTGTGTTTGTTTCACAACTGAGGATGTTTATATCAGATGAAATTCATTTGGTTTGAAATACATATACACTGCGTTATAATACTTTTCCATCATTAAATGAAAAAGGGGAAAAACTTTTCTTTTTTCATTTCGTGGGAAGTTTTTAAATTAATGATGGAAAAGTAGAAAACTAAAAAGCTTTTTCCTGAAATTTCAACCCTCTTAAAGGTATTACATTTTCAAATGTTTCTGCATTTCTTTTGGCAGTTTTCAAACTCACCAAGAGATGGATAGAGAAAAGAAAGTGAATGTGACCCTGAATATTTGAAAAATTTAAATTCTAATTCGTATCCTTTACAAAATAGGTATGGAAGAACAGGCAATGTGTTATTAAATGGAAGTAGTTTCACAGTCATTTCAGAGCAGAAATAATGAAAAGGAATATTTACCTAATTAACTTGCTTTTTTGTTTACTTTTGATATTTCATATGAATAAATTATAATAAACGTAATTTTGCTAACACGTATGATATTGTTTTGAGTTTTCAAGCCATCCTGTTTTATTTCTCCCAACAAATGACGTCCTAAAAACTCCTAACCACAAATAGCTCCAAAAGATAGACAAGAAAGTTCTACACAAACTATATCTCCCAACTTCCTCACATATAATAAAATATGGTATATATTCCATTAAAAAAGCAGTAATGTTGATAAACTGAAATGTAGACCATCCTGTATTATTGAAAAGATAGTATCAAAAACCAAGATATTTAAGTTCATATTCAAACCGGTAAACAGGTTTTGTTGAATCTCGTAGTTTTGAGTATAATAAAATTTTCTAAAAAAAATTTTGAGATAGTTTGCGAAATTAGTGTGTATCTTTATGTGTAATAGAGAAATACTTTTTGAAGTAGAATTCTTTGCATTTCTCTTCTTCTACGTTTACATATTAGAAAAATTAAATGGGGTCTCTGATGAATTATAAAATTGAGCATGATTAGAGATATGAACTATTTTGCAGGTTAAATTCTCTCTAGATGTATTTTCTTTTATCAAACATGCAATTCAAATGTATTGGTTTCACAGAATAGCTCAATTTTATTGTTCGTGAACAACTAACAGAAATTGATTTAATGATAATTTAATAACTCAAATCAGAACGTGGACCATTAACGAGCTTTGTAAATTGAATCATTCCAAAATTTCCTGATTTTCAGCGTCCCCTACGACCGCCACTCAGAAAAAAGGAGAAAAAGAGGCAGCCTTTTCTTCAGGAAAAAGAAGGTAACTATATTTGAACGATTGTTTTACTAGGTGTATCTATAATAGAAATCAAAATGTTCTCTTCCAGGATAAGACTAAAAAAAATATTCATCAGTGGGTGTCTGGATGTTACGGCACTTCTCAAATATGTGATGTTTGCACCAAACCTTTAAGCAATAAACCTGCCCTGTACTGTGAAAGTAAGTGAAAAACATGAAGTGGATTCAAAAAATTATTTTGTCTCTATTAGTGTGTACAAATGCAATTAATCCTCAAAATTGACTACCCTTATGCAACCCTTATTCAGTACTTTTTATCAGGCGGAATACATTTTTATTTTTCTGTAGTTGATATCTGGATATCCTGAAGAGATTTTGATTAGATAAATCTAATTATTAGGAATAATTTGCTCTATTTTTGCCAATTGTTTCTAGAAGGGTATAAAAGAAATTGGATATTTGATTAATTATGGTAGGTCAATCTACAGTTATTGACTTCATTTGAAACTCTCTTCAACAAAATATGCCAAGCCGAACTTCTGAACAGAGTCTCAGAATGTGTAATCTTTGTAGAATTGTGTTAATTAATGACAGTACGATGTTGCCAGATATTCTACAAATACCCGATAATAACAAAATGTCTTCTGACCCTTGCTCTTTTCTTGTCACAAAATTATGGTGGTTCAGCTGTTTCCAGTAACCAAAGTATTTTTTCATTTTAGGCTGTGGTACAACTGTTCACCAGAATACGTGTAAAGACAATATTCAAGAATGTGTCAAAGTGAAAAACGTGAAGGTTGGTATACTGCTTGTATTCATTTGTTATGTATATCTGTTTCATTCACATGGTGAGCGAGTTAGTTGTGGAACAAATTCATTGTTTTATAAACAGGTAATTATCAGGCAAAAGAGGCAGTGATATGTTTTTTGTTACTTATGTAATTATCACACTCATCACGAATATGTAGTTGAAGTTTGGTGCAAGTATAAACTTTCATAAATGAGTGTTTCCATTTTCTCACTAAAACGTGCTGCGGACATTCATTTACTTACCACATCTATTTTTTTCCATATGAATTTTTTATTTTTTTCAATAAACAATGCATATCTCATGCATATTTTCCAAACAAATTGACAATTTAACAAGATTTCCTTCAAAACTATATTAGGGTTCCCTATACCTATCTCTTCTGGATTTTACACAAAAGGAGTAAGTAATTTTTTCATCTTAGAAATGGAACACCCTGTATTGTTATGAAGAGCAAAAAAGCATTATTTAAGTCATTTTATTGAAAAATGAAGAATCTTAGATAGTTTATTATTTCAATAAATGCTCAAAATGGTGTCCATTATTCTCGATGCATAGGCGAACTCTTTCTTGAAATTAGTGCTGAACTCTGGATAACATATTATGCGATATGAAACAAAACGCTCTTCTTATTCATACTTTCATATCCTGAGGTGTCGTTGGCGGTGTATCGTGAACAATACTTTTGATATATGTCCATAAAAAATAGTCAAGACTTGTAAGATCCAGAGACCTGGCTGGCCAGTTCTGTGGACCTCCTCGTCCTATCCATCTATTTGGATATTGTCGATCTAACTCGTTTCTAACACGTCTATCAAAGTGTGCAGGAGCACCATCTAGCTGCACCCACATCCGTTGACGAATATTGAAAGGTATACTTTCCAACAGCATAGGCAAATTATCCCTAATAAATCCGAGAAACATGGCGCCGTTTAAATGTAACGTAAAAAAGTAAGGACCTACTACTTGCGTTCCAGTTATTCCACCCCACACATTAAAAGACCATCTGTGCTGGTGATCAAGGGATCTAAAAATATTAGGGTTTTCGTCACTGTAGTAGTGAAAGTTAAGTAACGATGAAAAATGTTTGTAATTTAGTGCAAACCTCTCTGCCTGAATCCTCGCTCATTGTTATCGTCATTCTCAGTGAATGTTAGTTCTTAAAATACTAATTTATTTTGAATTTTCAGAGTACTAGTAAATTGCCTAGCTTCGCTGGGCCGCTAACAAACGCAAAAAATTCCATTACAAAAAGAGGATCGGCCTCCTTGTCTGGTTCTCAAAACAGTACTACTACAAGGTGAGTGTCGCCATAATTCCTTTCATAAACACGAACTATAAATCTGACTCGTGATTCACAAGTCCAGAAAGATTTTTTGGGTAAAGTAAATCAGTATGATAGCGGAATTGAATCATCTCTGTAACTGTGTTAATTGTGTAGACTTTTGGAAATTTGTGTTTAGAGAAAAAAAATTAGATTTTTTAGTAGAGTTGGCGATTATTGGCATGTTGAGAAAAAAATTGACGACTCTTGACAGTTGATCCGATCTCTTATAAAATGAGACCCGCATATTCTTATTCCAGTGTTTTTCATCTTATTTCGCTATCTTTTCAAGAGTTAACACATCCAGTGAACATTGCTTGCTTGAGTTTCTGTATAGAATTTAATAATTATACACTGTGTATACTGTCCTGGGAAGCGACGCGACGGTTCAAATAATCACAAACAATTCTAGCGTTATGTGCTGGAGCAACATTTTGTTGAAACCAGCAGCAGCTGCGAGTAACCGCTAAAGGCAAACTATCTGGAGCGTCTTCCAAATCATTTACTAACAAATTTATGTACTGCTCTTTTTGGTAAATTGTTTGGATAGATAAAAAGCCCAATTACATTCGTAATTTTGCCTTTCGTACCGAGAATCCCAACCCTAAATATTGATTTACCAGGTTGTCGCCTCTCTGGATTTTTAGTACGCACGTGCAGCATTAATACAATTTGTGCACATTTCGTTACACAAAATTTAACATGACAACATATCAAATTTTTCAGTATTCGAAAAGCTGCCGCTTTCCATTTTTAACATAAATTAGGTAGGCAACAAGATGTAAAAGTAAGAACGGTAATATGTCAAAAATTCTGCCAAACAACAGTATTATTATGACAACAGAACATTATTTGTCATTTTTTCCAGCGCATACCATCTAAAATTGAAGGAAAGCAGTAATCACTTTCCATTTTGCGCGAAAAATTGTTATGAAATCATATTGTGTGATACGTTGCTGTATTCACAATGAAAAATGAAGTAGTATACAGGATATACTTCAGTTTCGGCCCATATAAAAATATAAAGTTGATGATGTTTTCTAAAAGACGAAACGTCACAGAAAATTCTGCTTACGTTATCGTGTAGTCCTTAAAAAGTGGTCATGGCAAAGTGCTATTCGTTTTGCATTTCCTTTGAAAATAAAGCTAGGAGAAAATATAAATTAAATTCTCAAATTTCGGTTTTTCTAGAATATCTCCGAAACTACTCAGAATATCAAAACTTTCTAAATAGCATATTATTGGGCACATAAATGCACTACTTTTCTCTAATTCAATCGATCCCGTATCACTTACCGTTTCCGATATCCCCACGCTGTTCATTCTTATCTTGGACACAGTGTATACTGAATTTGGAGAACTCTGCTGTTTGTTTTCAGGTTTGGGTGTTTTTTGTCCACACATTTTTCTCTTTTTTGTATTTTAACGCAAAATTTCGGATTTCCAAAAATCATTTTTGTCACCTAGATAATTCAGGTGTACTTCCTAGCAAAAATAATAGAGGTTAAAGATAGTTAGAAAATTTTCATATTCCAACTATTCTATGACTTTTTTACAACAAAATGGCCTAGATAATAATTAACTTTGGAGCAGCTACTAATATCATGATATGTTTGCTTTCACGGCCAGTGTCTAACACATTGTCCGAAGTGTCCGGGTTTATTAGCCGTGTTCTGTAGGTTTTTATACCTGTCGTCTGTGATAGGAATCACACGTTAAAAGGTATGACCTCGTTAGTCCTTAGCTCGCACAAGTTTCTCAACTTTTGAGAGTTGTCGTTCGTATGGGGGCGACAGCTGATTAACGGAAAAACAGAATTTAAACAGAATTTTTTTAACCAGTTTCGTCTGCTACTGCGGCAAGCATTATCAAAGGCGATGCGGCGACAGTGGAAGTGCTTTAATGGTCCTAGTACGTTTGTACTCACAATGGGACTAGGTATCCGACGAGCAACTGCTCTTGTAACTGAATGATCCGACTCTTCTCCAATGATTAGGAGAATCTTTGTCATCCGAAACTTAGTCCCATTATAAGTACCAATGCACCTGGACCATTTTCTCTTCGATGCGGCGCCTTTGATAATGCCTGCCGCAGTAGCAGACGAAACGTCCGACCACGGCTGATAATCCCAGAAACATCGGACAGTTAGTTACAAATATGTTTGTTTCAATAATCTTATAGAACTGATTCCTTTATAACTGACAGTATAAGATTCTTTACTGCGACAGGTCGTACAAAATAACACCCTAACTTGATTATGAGATTATAAGTAAAAGTTGACTTATGCAGGAACTCCATCAACTACCCTTTTCGGTATTTCTTTTGAAGATTGATTTTTTCTCAATCATTCGTACTCTTATATTTCAATGTTGGATCAATAATTTGAACGAGAGATATTTTTGCTTTTGAAATCATCACAACAATTTTTTTAAGTTGACTAGGAAGAGGGAATATTTGTGTATATCATCACATTTGTTTATATGTTTTTATAAATCTTGAATTTCATGACACTCTCATATATATATGTATATACAGGGTGTCCCTGGACTTCCTCTTTTCCTATATCTTCATCAAATTGTTATTTGCAGCGAAGAAATAAAAAGTTGATGGGAGATCAAATGTCCTTATAAAATGCTGTAACTTGAAGTAAAGGAAATATGTCATTTTAAGAAATATTTCATAGATAAATAGATAGACTTTATTGGCTTAAACACAGTGGTTTACAGCACGTCACATAGTATAAAAAATATTGAGAGACAATATGTAAAAATGTGAAAACAATCAGGTCATTCACAAAAACATTTTTTTATATACATTAAAAAGAATAATTCGAAAATTCTTCTACACTACAAAAACAATTTTTTAGGAGTAGACATTTCACATTAGCCTTAAAATGTCTATCATTCAGGGAACCCACTTCTGAGCTCAACTTGTTATAAAATTTCAAATTGAGGGAATTTGACTTCGACTTATTTAGCCTGAAACGTTTTACTGCTATTTGGTTTGCTGATCTCGTGTCGTATTTATGAAGATCTGACGAAACAGTATAGTTTCCTTTATTTGAGTATATTTCACAAAGGGTTTGATGTGTGTAAATGCATGGTAGTATCATTATTTTCATGTGAGCAAAGAGGGAACGACAGTGATCTCTCAGTCCGACTCCAGCTAGAAGACGAATAGCTTTCTTCTGTGATCTGAAGATGTTTAGCGCATTGCTGGAATTTCCCCATAGAATGGTTCCATAGCTAATACTCGAGTGAAACAAAGAGAAATATATTTGCTTAAGTGATTCGGGACCTACAACATATCTCAATCTTCTTAAAAGAAATATTGTACTGGAAACCTCGCTGTTCAGTTTTTGAGTATGATAGTGCCAACTGAGAGTGTCATCGATTGTAATTCCAAGAAGTTTACAGTGTTCTCCTGATGTGTATTTATTGTTACTGGATCTAATCAGTTGTTGCGTTTTTTCACCATTTAGTTGTAGGGAGTTTGCAGAAAACCAATTTCTAGCAAGGTCAATCGAATTGTCAGAAAGAATTTTGAGGCTATACAAATCTGAAGAACTATTGATAAGTGACGTATCGTCAGCGAAAAGAATGGTGGCTGTATCCTAAAGCATATGCTGACAAATGTCATTTATGTAAAACATAAAAAGCAAAGGACCAAGGAGCGATCCCTGTGGAACTCCATGTTTCACTGTCCTTAGCTTAGATGTAGTATTTTTCATTTTGACCAGTAGTTGCCTATTTGTTAAATACGATGACATCAATTTGAGTGGTGTTCCTCCAACCCCATAATAAGATAACTTTTCTAACAGTAGGTCGTGTGACTACCCAGTCGAACGACTTGGACAAATCGCACATAGAAAGGATGGACAATGGCCAATGTCCTCCACGACCTTCACTAGTGCCCTTATTGTAGATTTGTTTTGGCAGAAACCAAATTGAATGTTGGCGAGGAAGTTATTCTTTTCAAAATAATGTGTTAACCTTTCTTTGAGCAAAATTTCTATAATTTTAGAAACCGTGTTAATTATTGAGATTGGGCAAAAGTTGTCCATAGTTTCAAGGTTTTTTTTTTCGGTAAAGGCAAAACTCTTGAGATTTTGAATAAATCCGGGAAAATGCCATCTAAATAACACTTATTTATTAGCGCAACCAATGGTTCAAGCAAAATGTCCGATGTTTCTTTGATAAGTAATGCATTTATTTCGAAAGCATCTTCTGAATTGTTTTTTTTAGTTTACGTATAGCTGACAAGACCTCGTCTAGAGTGGTTGGGGCTAAGAAGAAACTTGATTTTGGAAATGGTAAATTTCTCAAAAGATCAGAAGTCGTAAGAGAGGAACTTGGTATTGTTTTTATAATATTGTCAGCAATTGTACTGAAGAATATATTGAACTCGTCTGAGGTGATAGATGAGTTGCCAATGTTTTTAGATTTTTTGTTGAATTCGAAATTAACGATGCGCCAGCTATCTTTCGATATATTTTTAGTAGAAAATAAAAAAAATCATAGGCATTTTTTGGGATAATAATGGAGTTTCTTTAATCTTCCCTCAATTTTCTGTATGTCGACCAGTTGTCAGGATCATTCGTGCTGTTTGCGATTAACTTCACAGTTGACAGAATTTTTCGCTTACTTACCAATTCATCATTGAACCAGTTTACAGGGGGTCTATTAGTGTTGTACTTTTTTAGAGGGAAACATTTCTTTGTTACTTCACTGTATGTTTCTACGAGCCAGTTTGTTGATTTATTAACATCACTCAAGGATTCATGAAACATTTGCTAGTCAACCTGGGCTATAGAACTTCTGAATTTTTCTAATGCTTTGCTTGAGTAATGTCTTCTGAAAATTATATCTGTATTTTCTATACTCAAGGGTGTGATAATGAACTGGCACAAGTGGTCAGATAAACATAGATCATACACTCTCACTGTGCCACAATCAGGTATGATATCAGTTATAATGTTATCAATATAGTTATGAACAGAAGTTTATAAAGTATATACTATAGAAAGAAAGGTGAATCACTAGAAATAAATCATATCGGCAGATTGACGGGCACGAATGTTCTTTCATTTTTCAATAAGTGATTTTGAATCCAAAAAATCGATTTTCATATTATTTACAAAAGAAATTGGTTTATCGTGATGCTCTTTTAGTGCGACAGGTTGTCCTGATTTATTTACGTGTGAAAATTTATTTGTTGTCGGTAGAAATACGTAAGTGGAATACATTACAGTTTGGAGGGATAACAAATACCATTTCATATGATTTTTTTTGTTGAACGATAAAAATATTCATTAATAAAAAAGTGCTGTTATAGAAGGTGAGTCTTAACCAACGTTAACCAACATAATTTGATGGTCAATTCGTAGAAAAATTTAATGTTACAAGAATGTTAGATACTGAAATGTTTTCATATCTATCAATGAAAACTTGTCTAGTATACACTTTATCCAAGATAGGGTTGGCCAGTACAGATAAACATAACAGATACAAAGCTGGTCAAACTAGTAAAAAGTTGCTAATTTTCAAACTCCTCATTTCAAAACTGCATTCAAATACATTCTAAAATGGACAAATGTTTCCGAATTTGCAATGCTGGCCTGATTCATCTTGGACAGACAGTGGAAATGAAAGATTTTCTATAAAAATTTAATTCCATATTCACTTCCTCCCGAAGACGACATCAAAAAATTGTTCTGAAAATTCTGAGTGTCCAACTACATGTCAATTTAAAGTTTTTGATGACCTTTACAAACTTTAAACTCGGTTGTTTCAGAAGTTAATGCCTTTTTTAATTTGACACTTTTTGTACTTGTTACCAACCTTAGACACAACCACCTCTCCTCCTACAATAAATCATGGAAAATAGAATGATTGAAATCATGCCAGAGTTGGCAGAAATGTCAATGATTCAGGAATTTAGGAAGACCGTGGGTTCGATTCTTGCCTCGACCAGATATTTTTCTCGAGAGAATTTATCTGGTTGAAGCTGGGATGATTCTGCAACCGTGTTAGGAATCACACGTTTAAATGTAATACCTCGTTGGTTCTTAGCTCGCACAAGTTTCTCAACTTCTGAGAGTTGTCGTTCGTATGGGGGCGACAGCTGATTAACGGAAATTGATTCCAGGAACTGTAAAAAAATTCTTAAGGGTTTTTATCTATCTTTTTTGGGGATGCTCACGTTCCACAATCCGAAAAATATGAAAATTGTATACTGTAGAAAGAGCAAGGTTTTTAGTTCACCCCGATAAACAATTTTCAAAGTATTTTTCACAAAGAAAACTTTCTATTTATCAGTAACTTATCGTATTTTATGATTTCGCCTATCAAAAAAAGAACTGAGAAATTATACATGTACTTAACGTTTTGAAGGCTAAAATCTGCCTCCATCTTCATAATTGGAAACATTTAGGGATATTTGCAGGTTTTTCTCCGCTGATTCGCTTCAATTCATTCCTAAACTTCTCCGACAAATGTCAAAAGTACTCCATAAGCGAATCTACTTTATAATTGAGCATAATGTAAGTTATGCCAAGTTAATGAATTAGGAACATAGAGTTGACATAAGCTTCAAACTCGGATATTGACTATGCTCTTTCCAGTCAAACTTGTTGAAACGCATCAGTTAAATTCATTTAGGAATGTATTCATCTATGTTTTCATATTATTGTTTTAGTTTTTCAGTACGGAAATACAGTTTTATTAGATTGAACCACAAAACGAGTTGGCTCTTAGCGTCTTTATAAGTTTCTTTTATTATGATTAAGAATTTGATATAAGGATGTATGAACCTCTGAGGAAGCTAGCCACTCGCGACAGCGAAACGTCAGGAAGAAATTCCAAAAATCCACGGCCTCCAAACTCAGAAATTAGTGACACTTTCATGGCAGAGTTAGGTACGTGGAAATATGTATTTGTCAATTTTGAAAGAGCGTAGCGGAATTCTGTATATACTGAGAAGCTGGAGTTGCAAATTTTCACCAGGGGATATAACACCAGCATATATATGTCAAGTTTACCTTAGCAATTTCATTTATATATACATTGAATAGAACCAGGGTCCAAGGCAGAGCACTGGAGAACACCAGTATCAATTTGAAAAGTTGAAGAAGATTGAGATTACTGTTGAAGTACTTGCACCTCCAACCTTAATGTATTCCNATTGAATAGAACCAGGGTCCAAGGCAGAGCACTGGAGAACACCAGTATCAATTTGAAAAGTTGAAGAAGATTGAGATTACTGTTGAAGTACTTGCACCTCCAACCTTAATGTATTCCAAGTAGTAATAGGTACATTTTACCGAAAGCCATTCAAAATGTGTTTGATTTATTAATATTTGGGTGTATGGCTAATATGTTGCCTCTTCCCTGCCCCTCCCTTCTAGGAGGAGCCAGCTATGCTACTCGCCGTGGCGAAGGGTGGCAACAAAGCTCGGAGTGAAGTAAGTTCCTGTCCTAACCTCACTTCCCAGCATTATTACTGTTTTTTAAATATTTTCACATCTGTTCTAGTTTCTTTTAGCGGTACGCCATTATATTGAATAACCATTCTTCAGTACCAGTTAGCTCTCCTTTATTTTGGCGGTATTTATTTCAGTATAGAAGGTTTTAAGAAGATTCTTAGAAGTACGTTTTTTTATAATTTTCGTTTATTCGTTTCATGCGAAAGCTTCACATGCTATTTGCTTTCGAGCATGCCTTTTTCTCTGTTCTCCTCTACTCAATCGCAAATCACACCCACCACATACAGTGTATATCACATTACCCGAACGTTTTGTTTTGTTCTTTCGATTTTTGTGTTTGTTCATTTGTTTTCAGTTGGCCTTCGCTTGTATGGGCCAGAGCCAAATAGCTTTTTGAAATCGGTCAGCTAATTTCCTTTTTGCTTTTCAGCCAAATACTTTGTGATGATAAAGATAATGACTCCCATGGACACCATGATTCTGCAAGGTAATGTACCCTCAGGCTTTGGAATCAGCATAAATTCATTAAAATAGATGTGATATTGAAAATAATCAGACAATGAGTAAAATACAAATAGTTAAGAAAAAATACTTCTAAACTCGGGAATCCATAAAAAAGTTTTGAGCATTCCACTTCGTTCATCAGTCTGTTATGAATATGATAAACCCAAACCAGATGCTCCTCCATGGACGGAAAGTCAGATTTGTTATCAAAAAGGGTCATATTTTTGTTAGATTCAATTGTTCTGCATGTATGGATTAATTTAGTTTACTTTTTTCATTAAATTGTTGAACTTATAATTTATTTTTTCTAGAAATATTAGAAAATAGAAGTTCTGACTACATTGAAATTAAAATTTTTCGTCAATATTGTTACGTTTTTATCCGTGGGTTGACCAATAATTGACTACACTGAATAATCAAACTTAACTTTATTTCACTTTAAATACAACAAACACTTCAACTAAAACTTCAACTATTACTTGAATGTCTATCGCCTTACTAAATCATTTCGCGTACCGCACTGTAATGTCCACTTGACATTGTCGATATCCTCGTCGCTAGCCTTTAAATATCATAATCGAATGCCGTAGACATTTTACCGAAATTCCGTCGAAATCGGTAGCATTATTCTCGCTGCTTCTAGAGTGGCGGGGAATATTCGTACATTCGCGCGCTCTTACCTACGTCACGTTTGACTTATGGTTACCAGTGGCAGCCGGCGTTATTTTCTTTCGGGCATGATTTACAACAATATGTTTAGGAACATCGCTGGCCAGGCTAAGTTTCCTGGGCGGTAAATTGATGTGGTTTTCAAGTCTCATGAGTCAATTCTATCAGGAGTTTCAAGTATTTTATTGACAATACCCTATTAGATTTCTCAAGGATCTGGAAAATAATTGGCAGCGGAGAGTCTCTAACAAGCCCAATCATCATGAAATCTACTCTACGGGGAGCAATGCAAAATTTGAGACAATCAGACTTTTTCTTGGGTTCCCGGATTTACGTGTTTTTCAATTTATTTACAATTACATTTTTCAAAATTAGTACTGATGTCCAATGACCAATTCTGTTTTGCAGCGTTTTAATTATATTTCATTTTCAGCTTCCCCGATGATGTTCCAATAATTCCTTTGGAATTTTTGTCCGATTCCCCCTTGACGGCAGCGGATCTGTGTTCCGATCCTAGTTTAGGTTTACATGAATCTGAACCGGATTCGTGGTCGCCTTATGTGGGCAAGGAAATATCTAGGAAGTTGAAGGAGAAGGAAGTGAAACGTCAAGAACATATTTATGAATTCGTTTTGACTGAGAAGCATCATTGTATGACTTTGTTGGTTATGCAGAAGGTTAGATATTCACTATTGAATAGTTTAATGTCATACATATTGGTTGTTTCTAAAGTTTCATCCGTTTTAATGTCATGTGTTTTTGTAGCTCCGTATCTCAATAAAAATGTATTGTACTGAGTTGTGTTATATACTTATCGAAATCGATGAAAGCCTGAATCTCAAACTTTAGCTGAAAATATATTGACGATCAAATTTAATGATTGTCCTATACTAGATTATTAAATGTGTAATAAGACGTATTAAAGTTTATGTAATTTTTTTTTATTCAAAAAAAGGCTATTCCCGGAAACTCGAACTGCAACAGTCTTTGAATGTATGAGAACAGTGTTGTAGTGCTGGTGTTTGGGAATAGTGTTCTTGTTTTGGATTTATTCCACCCCAGTTTCCAGTTCTAACTTTCATGTTTTTCAATTATCCAAAATGAAAGGTATACTGTAAGATTTCCAATATTGAATGATTAATTTCTTGTTCTCTTAATTAGTAGCAACAAGTGTATAGTCAAAAAGTTATGGTTCTATGATTATTCCAGTAAACTTATCTGACTTCTATCGTTCAGTTGTAGTAGTTCAATGTCATCAATGAAAAATTCTAGTACCTAGATATACTATTTTGAAATTTTATAGGTATTCGTAGACGGTTTACAAAAATATTTTCAACTGGGCCCCAGTTTGGAAAGGATGTTTCCAAGACTTAACGATCTGACTGAACTACATTTAGGATTATTATCAAGACTTAGGCAAAGGCAGAGGGAGAATCCTGTCGTAACTTCGATCGCTGATATTCTTTTGGAACAGTTCTCAAATCACCATGCGACTAAATTGAAATCTGCTTACGGTGAGTTAAGTAAAATTCTTCTTGAAATATGAACTTATCAGGAGAGAAATTTCAATTTTGGTCCATTGCTCGATGCAGTAATTATTTCACTTGTGTTTCTAGAGGACACTTTTACATGTTGAACCTAAGAAAAGTCAATTAAATTCGTCTAGGATTCCAGATCAACGTCTATGGGTACATTCAAAGTTAATGGTGGAAGTGAATCTAAGAGGATTCTGAAGAAAAGCTAGTGTTTTGGGGGTATTTTTTTCTTGGTTCACGATTCTCAAAAGGAAATATTAGTTGATGTATAGAGAATCCCACCTCTTTGTGACAAGATAGATCATTTTAATTGTGAATATAACTGGAGTTTTATCCCAACACCAAACCGTTATTTTAACACCTTGACACGTCCATAATATTTGGCACCGTGGTCCTTACATTTAATTTCGTAATTCGGAAAAGTCTGGAATTTGCGAAATTATAAGAACTGTGATGCAGAAAATTAAGGACACACTGAAAGATCTATTAAAATGAAATATAAGGAACACTTAGCACACCTAAAATATGGAAGACCTGAAAAATCAGCAGTCGTCCATCATATTTTGCAACAAAACCATTCCATAGACTTTAGTTCATTAAGATTAGTTAAATAAGTTAACAACAGGCATCTAGATCCCTACCAGAGTGTAGAAATAAATAAACATAATGATATGTGTGATTGATGACTTGTTTATTATGTGGTAATTCATGATCACTTTAATGAAATGAATAAAAACAATTTTGTTTAATTACCACTAGTTAATTTTATTTATACGACCGGTTTCGGGTTAAACCCTATTATCAAGTATAAAACTGAAACGTGAAGTTTGAAAACTCCGTTATATCGGGAGTTTTCAGGTAAGATGTAAGAACAGGTAGTTGTACAAACCAGGGTGCCAACTTTGAAATTCAACACTGAAGATTGTAGAAGTTGTCAAACTTACAAATTCAAGAGTAGAGACCTACATAACTACATACCCCTAAACAAGCAACTCGAGTTATGTAGGTCTCCACTCTTGAATTTATAAGCTCAACAACTCCTATACTCTTTGAATTTCAAGGTTGGCACCCTGGTTCATACAACTACCTGTCGTTCAACTACCTTTTCTTACATCTTACCTGTAAACTCTTACAATAATATTAGGGATTTTAAAATCTCCTTTTGGTTGCTCCCTGATTCTAAAACAAGAGTTTTAATGGGAAAGAAAAGTTTTTGGCTTTCTACTACTCCATCTTGATACAAAAAAAGGGGATGAGGGAATCTTCCAAAGAAAGGAAGGAAGTAATCAATTTGAAAATAAGTAACTCTATACATGGATGTGTAGATCATGCAAAGAAGTAACTTTCAGACACAAACTGAAAGAGTTTTAATATTTTGCTGTGAAGTTGATGAAGTATTCGTATCTTCTCAAAATTCTTACTTCCTGTCATTAATATCGACAATTAAATTGTCGCTATCTTTGTCTACAAGTAATGATCAAATATAGATTGTCAAATATTATTTTGATCTGGATCTCTAGAGGCATGATCATGAAATTTCATTCATATGAATTTAGTGCTGTGCTTATTCAAGTATTGACTTTTTGGTTATGTTGATTGTTTTCAATATTTACAAATATAAATGTTTTAAAAACATCTTCTGGCAAATGTGAAAAAATGAGACTAAAATATATGGTTTTCTTTGCAATTTCAGGGGTGTGAAGTTTCTGATTTTGTAAACAATCCTAATGATAAACATTATCGAATTAGTTGAAGTGCAATTACAAATGTATTTTTATAGAAGAACATGAATCATAAGTTTCTATTCAGTGTTCATAAGCATTATGTTATAGTTAATTTTTTGAATAATTTTTTTTTCACTGCTATAAACTTTGTAAGTTTCTTGGGAAAATAAATCGTTATAATTATCATTGTATAATTAAAATCTGTCAAGTTTTTTTTGTGAATTTTATGGTGAAATGTTTTAAATTCAATACAATCGATAGGATACTCATTCAACTCATGTATTTATACAGGAGACATAAATTATTTGTGCTGAAATGCTGAATGAGAGTGGAGCTTCTATTTGTTTCTCTGGTATTTGATAGATACGTTTCAGATATCTGTCAGGGCAACACAACTTTCATTTTTCTGGTCTACATGTATCAGTCACTGATATAAACTTGAGATAATTAAACCTATACAACCATTCCGCACATGGGCACTGTTGTTACCACAATTCATCACAATTACGATATTGTCACCCCTACCTCACCACATATTTATAATGTGGTAGTGTTTGCTCTTAATAAATTCTGTTAAAATTTTATTAGCTAAACCGTTTCATACCATCTATATTTCCAGGCGAGTTTTGTAGCAGGCATAGAGACGCGGTAGAAATCTATAAGTACTACCTCCAAAATGACCAGCGTTTCGGCGAGTTCGTTAGACATTGTCAGACTAATCCCTTGCTCAAAAAGAAAGGCATACCAGAATGCATTTTATTCGTAACGCAACGACTGACGAAGTACCCATTGCTCATCGAGCCGCTGATAAAAACCAGCAAGGAAAATAGACAAGAGCAAGAGGCCTTGCAGAAGGCCCTCGCCTTGGTCAAGGAGGTTCTGGTGGACGTCGATGCCAGGGTAGCCGAAAAAGAGAAAGAAGATAGGAAGTTAGAGATATACAATAGAATCGATGCCAAATCTTACACGGTCCATAGAGGAAACAAATTCAAGAAGTCGGATATTTTGCAAGGCAATCGGTCTTTGAAGTTTGAAGGAGTTGCCATGCTGATGCAAGGGAGGGGGAAGATGCAGGTTGTCTTGGTCATCGTTCTTTCGGATGTGTTATTTTTTCTGCAAGAGAATTCGCATAAGTATTCGTTTTTCACTCCTGACAATAAGGTGAGTGAAATGGCCGATCTCGAGTAATAATTGTTTTCCTCCATTTGTTCACCAAAGGAAAAATTCAATGTATCACTAAAACTAAGGTTTTCACTATAAACTTCTGAAATTCAACCTAGATTCTGAAAGCTTTCTTTTTAATATGTTTGTGTTGTAAAAATTACCATGTATTTATGCACGTACATATGACATTTATGTCAACTCCATTATTAATTTTCTGTGTACTATCTGGATAAAAAGTGATTTCTGTGTAATTCGATGTTCATAATCAAAATTAGGTACGAATATATTTTTTCTTTTCCTTGAATACGGAAGAAAGTTCCGTCCATGATCTATACATCTTTGTGGATAGTTTTTATTAGTGATATGATCTCATATCTGCCCCTTTTCTGAAATTTATCTAATCAGAAATAGCTAAACTCATTATAAAATCAGTTAATATGTTTAAATCAAGAAGTTATTCAAAAGAAATTGCAAAATTTTGTTGCTTCCTATCTTTACACAAATTTTGAAAATACCCATGCACAAAAGCTTTTCACAATATTCAGAAAAAAATTAATTTATTTGTGATAATATGGCTTTCAGAGGTTTAGGGATACTGAGTTTTTAGCTTTAGATTTACTTACTAACAAGCAGTTGAAAATAGATTTAGATTCACTGTAGACTTTTGTCATTGAATCTGTGTAAAGTTTGATACAGTTTAACATTCCAGTTGAAATATTGAAACAAATTGGCAACAGAGATGATGTATTCATCTGTTTTCAAAATAATTCATTTGGAAAAAAACAATTTATATACATTAGCTAATTCAAATTACAGATGAGGAGTTTCATGTGGCGTACCTCAAAGGTCTATTCTTGGGCTTATGTTTTTTGTCTTTTACATAAATTCTTATTCATAATAAAATTTGAATTCTGACCAACTGGTCTCTTTTGATACAAAAATTTGTATAAGAGAAATGAAAAATAAAATGGAAAGTAGTCTCTGTACCATCTCATTGTGGCCGAGTTGAAATAATTGATAATAAAACAATATTTCAGGCTGGTGTGGTATCTTTACAAAAACTATTAGTGAGAGAAAAAGCTGGACAAGATTCCAGGGGCATTTACCTGATATCTTCAAATCCCGCAGATCCCGAGATGTTTGAATTGAAGGTTCATAAACCAAAAGACAAACAGCAGTGGATTCAAGCAATAAGGTACGCATCATGGTAAATTTATTTTGACATGAACTCTGTTTATTCAAAACACTTGAAAAAAACAATAAATGAATAAATTCCATTGTCTTGAGTTTTGAATACACGAAGATTTATTTTTTCTAACAATATCAAACAAACAATTATTATTTCACATCCCAATTTCATTCCAGAGAAGCCGTTCAATCGTGCCCAGAAGATGAAGAAGACATCTTTGTTTCTAGTTCGGAAGAAAAACAAAGTATCCTCAACGCCAAACAAAACCAAGTTCGTCACCTCATAGGTAAGTTGATTCTTTAAATTTTTCATTGATATAAATGAAAATGGCATATGTCGGTTACTTATAACAATCAATGAAATTTTGTTTGTCGTACAATACAAATTTGAATCGAAGGTTAAACAGAAAAATAACTCAAAATACCTTGTCATTATCTGAGACATCTTTATGTTTCAGATAAGTATCAGAAATAAAAAATAGGAAGGAATAACTATTGTAAGCATATTTCGTTGAAAACATCAAATAAAAAACTTGAAGCGATCATCAAATGAAAAATTGAAGTGATCTTCATATTGAGTTTATATTCATATTATCTGATTTCCTTCGTCACATTTGTTTCACAAGTTATATAACAAAAAAAAATGCATAAATTGTCTCAAAAAGATTTTCAAAAAAAACGTCCCAGAAAATCTTACACTATTTCATCCACAAAAGTTGATGTAACGATAACAGTCCCAATTATTCTTCAGCAGTTTCATGTTTTTGTGTCTCTATGTATTTTTTTAATTTATTTCACAGATGCTTGATCCGTTTTTTCCATTTTTTGTCAATAATAGAAAATTGGCTTGAAAAGTTTTATGAAGGTCAATTGTGGGTGATAAAGAAAAATGATTTTGTATGGGTAACCGATATCACTATCAATTTCCTCTGTATAAATAAAACGCATGTGATCATGTCTTTTATCAAGTATTCTTTCCTATCCAATCTTTAACCATAATTTTCGTATCATCTGTTAGTGTAAATATATTTGTGTTGCTCTTTGTTTTTGGACAGAAACAGATTCGGACATCGAAGGTAACTTCATACTGAGAAAAAATGCATGACTTGTAGCATTGTAGATCATTTGATTTTGTGTCGTGAATGTGGAATTATTTTATTATATTCAAATGGGTTTTCTAAATGAAGTTTTGAAGAACAAATTTTCATAACATATATGGAAACTACAAGTGGGAATCCGTTTGAAAGAAAACAGAATTTTCTAATCGTGTTTTTTTTTGTTATGTTACAATTGTCACAAAATGAGTCAAGTAATATCTTCCTCCACAGAAATGATCTAAAATGATATATTTGATGTGCTGAAACTTTTATACTTTTTCATCCATGATCATTCATCTTTACATCTTGCTGAACTCAGACAGTGGGTGCATTTATTTTCAACTCATGAGTTCACTTTGCACATAAATACATTTAAAAAAATCACCGATTATCGGTATTCTTCATATAATGAGAAATCATATTGAATGCAAATATTTGATGAACATATATTATAATGTCATACTCAAAGTCAAAAGTAATTTATTCATCACTGTAAACTCCCATACAGATATAAAGAAGTATAGAAAAGTTTGTTGTATTTGTATATTCTTGATTAAAATATTTAATTTCACTTCAGAATATATCTATCAAATGTATTTCTAAATTTCCATACTTAGAACCAACTGAAAATTTATATAAACCAATAATGTTATCAAATTTGGATTCACTTTATAAATTGGCAATTTATTTCTTCCTTTGCCTCACCGTTACAAATGAAAATACAGCAGTTTCAAAGTCACTGAAAATGTTTTCATTCATAAGGGGCCTCCAAGTATTACGTAAGCACTATAGGGGCGGGGATCTTTGCTTTGCTTATTTTTGATGACATGGGGGCGGGGGGGTCTAGATGGTGATTACGTCAGCAGTAGTTATTTTCGAGACGCTTCTCGAACTTGAAGAGTTTCAAGCATAAGCTAAAACTGACTGCTATACAACACTTTGAGCGACATGATCTCGATGCATTGTTTTAAGCAGAAGTGCGGACAACAGAGTAGAGCGCAGAATGACTCCTCTTAGTCGTGAACTGGCTGGTTTGATATTGCCTCATGACCATTTTGGACCTCATTGGATGAATGTGACGTTACAATTAATGAACATTTAGAAAGATCAAATTTCTAGTTTGCAGGAAATGTTTTAGCTGAAGTATGTAGTTCAATGGAAATTGATGGCTATCATGTTACTGTTACTGTAGGCGAACAATATTTCCTGATTTCCTAGACTTTAAATGGTATACAGAACATATGCGTGAAGAGTAATACTTGCTTCAAATTGTAAAATGTAGAAAAATAGAATGCTGTCGTCCAAGAAGTGGCCTATTTAGATTACCAGACAACAGGTTTCTTTCACCAACAGTAAAAGTAAAACAAACAGTTGATGACTTGGTTTTGGATGATGGAGGGCACTTTCTCAATTTTCCAGTAGTCAATTCAGCCCTACGGTTTTCCTTGAGAATGCCTCACGATTATTTTTGTCCGACTGTAAAACACTTGAACTAAAATATCAACATTAAAACTAGGACATTAAATTGCATGTATTACAAAACTATAATTGTCTTCATGACACATTATCGAAAAAATCATTTCAACGAGTTTAAGTAAAAATGTTTATTTTTTTTTCTAAAATCCTTTTCATTGTTACAATTTTTTATTGATGAAGGAAGAGAAAGCTGAACGAAAATTGTAGATTAGACAAATAGATGACATGAAATGTTTTCCTGGATTAAAAACATAACAGTGTGAAGTTTGAACTAAGTTAAGCAGATATTATAGTCACAATTCAATTGAATTCAGTTTATTGTCCCAAATTTGAATTTTTTACACTCCATTTAGTGATATGTGTACTTGTTAGGTACACTGATTTTACCAATGGGAATGAAAACTTACTGCAATTAAACCAATTTTTCTGCTTAAAATTTAGCCTAGTGCAGAATGCCTACAACTAACGACATCATACAAAGAAGTTGTATTACGTTCCGACAAATTGTAAAATAGTATCATAATTAACAAACTTAAAAACGGATTTTCCATTACTTTTATGTACGATGCTTAAAAAAACATGTGTTTCATGAGGATCAAACAGAATTCAATGAATGACTAGAAGCTAATTTCTTCCTACAATCTCTGCATGTACGGGTAACTGCATGAAAAGCCTTCCAGTATTGGAGATTATCATTATTAATGTGTTCCAAATCTGAGAAGTGCAGTAACTGACATTTTTCTGCGCATTGATTATTCACAAGTATATAAATTGATCTAAATATGAGGTATTTTTGAAGTATGCCCTCTGTCCTAATGGTTTATTAATAACATAATGTGGTTAGCTGAAGACAGAACCCCAAAACAAAGTATTTATAATGAAACACCAGGCAGTGCTCTTTGCTGTCATATGTTGTGTTGGGCTGAACCACAAATACATTGATGGACTCAACTGTTCTTGAAAGTCGAGCGCGAATGAGAAAAGTGACTCTCGCTCAACAAAAACGCCATCTATGGGATTGACGGACAAACGGATATTTATGAATCGCGTCGTCTGTAAATTGGCTGTTCATTGTCTCACTGCTTGCTGGTTTTTTGCATGCTCGCTTGGTTTATAGAATAGTGAGTAAATTTAGCTATCAGGTTTCTGCTTCCACGATGTCAACGCTGAATGTGAGAATAACAGGATCTCTCATGGTGCTGTTTCCCTAACCGCATGACATTCCAATGATGGCTTCATTTTGAAAAGTGTGTAACTGTGCTGAAAGGCTGTATGACTCAAGCTAGCCCTCAGCGCCCTCTCGTCATAGATCGCTTGGTCACGCTAAAACGAGGCTCTACCGTGATGTACCTCCTTTTCCTAACCACTCATGAGACCTTTATGCCAGATACTTGAGCTAAAACAATGATTCATTACAACCAGGAGTAAAAAGCCTTGCAAAGCTGAATCTAATGTTTCATTAGGTATAGCTGAGTTATAAATACCTTCATATGGGAAGATTGCTGAGGTCATTAAAGGAGAATCTTGCACCTTGAGCATCCGACAACTTCAATATTGACCAATCAGCCTTACTTTCTTCGGCATGCCATTATGGCTGCTGTGGAGGATATCCCTGAAGATGGTTCGCAGGTACGATTCTTGTGAGGACCAGGAGAGTATTTCCTGACTGGTATGTGCTTACCTGTCCAAGTGAAGTTGGAGCTGTATAAGAGTGCATTTGTGTCAACAAAATATGCAGTAAAACACAAACTTTTATATAGCATCCTTTTTTCTACAAGTGAAAAATGAAGACTAAACAGTCAACATTTTGCCTGCAAACAGAGAGGTCTCTTATTTGAATGATAACTTGCATATCGAAGAGATACCTGAACACACGTGAATTATCTACTATGAATTTTTGAAAATGAAGTTTGTGAAGATTAAATCGTAAGGTGTAGTTTATGCTGTTGCAGCTGTTGAATCTGTTGCAATTATACCTGCAGTTGCAGAAAGTTGGTCCGGACCTAAAATAAATTTACTCCTGCAATTTTTCTTGCGAATGCAATTCTAGTAATGAATGTGGTTACTTCCATTTTCGCAAATAACATTGAATGTTACTAATTATTCATATAACCTGAAATTTGAGATAGCAAACGTCAATAGCGTTGCTCTCTCTTAAAATGATTGTTTTTATACAATATTTCAGGAAGTCGACACCTGTTTTATTACTCTCTTTCAGATGGTTTCAAATGAATTGCTTGGTTTTTGGTTGCATGTTCAACCCCTTATTTGAATTTCTCAGTAGGTTAGTGATATCTATTGGTTGAATTATTTTCAATCTTCATCCTGTTAATTGAGACGGATTCATTGTGTTGGTAATTATAGGTCAGCTGCGTCAGAAGGACATAGAGCAAGCTCTGTTATTGGAGGAGAAGATGTCTTTACAGCTGCAGTTATTGGCAGCTGCGGGGTTAGAACCTCCTTCCCCTCCTTCATACCGACATTTGGTTAGTGAAAACGCCGATACCGGACAAATGTGGAAAGAAGTTCTGAGGGCAGTTCAAGTAAGTCATAATTATTTATCGAAAAAACTGGTCGAACATTTTTTCACATATTCTGATCACTCAATAGTTTGATCAGTTTTAACGTACTCATGTTCTCATCTCACTATTCGTTCACGATGAATTTATTCTTACAGGAAGTTAGTCAGCTCGCCAGTTCATTATACACAACTGGAACGAATTTGTCCAGAAGCGTCAGTTCGGCAGGCGAGCATCAGAGCGACACTTACGTATCTCCCATATTGCCGAAACGTGCTGAAACCTTTGGCGGCTTTGATAACTGCAATCAAGGCCCGCTGAAGTTGCTGGGAAAGAAACTTTCTACGTCTGGGACTCCTGCCGGCACTCCCGACCTGGAAAATCTCAAACCTGGCGACGCAAGACTATTTGTAAGTTGAATACATTTTGTGCATCGAATCATTTCACATATGTCTTCAATATCTGATCTGATAAATCAAATACGTTTACATAAAATCGAAGATAGATAGCTATACAAATTTGAGTTGAAGTAAACATTTTGCAATTTCTTATATTTCTTATATTTTGAGAACAATTATTATGTATCACTGTCTTTGGACAGTTTACTGTTGTTATACCATACTACTTATATTCCCCAAATAGTTCTTTTCACAACTAATAAACTGCGGGCATTTTATCCGCATATTGAGTACATAATATATCATAATTATACATTTTAACCTCAAATTATGAATTGCTTTGTCAGTCCTGAATATAAGAAAATTTAAATTGCCAGACATAGGAGTTGGATAATGGGATATGAAATATGTAGGTATTTACATAATAATTAATAAAAATTGCTGATCAATTTTATAAAATTGACCCAAATTCTTAATGAAGGTTTACTTTTTCGAGAATTTCATAAATGAAAGCAATTCTTTATGAAAATATACATTTCTACATTACATTCCCTTTGTTCGGAGAAGAAGCCAAGTCGTTTTATTTTCATTAGTTTGGACTCTTATTGCCGATGCACAATTCGGCGATATATTTGAAAAGATTTGTTGAATCCACAGTAAATCACTTTATTCTCACTTTTTGACTATAATTTAGAAGCCCTGACAGATTAAGTCAAATATCTGGCAAATAACTCTACCTACAAAATTTTATAGTTGACCATTCGTTTTAGGAACGGTTGCCTTATAGAAATTGTGTGATATCTGGAGGGCCTTTAACTAATGGCAATACTGCTAATGTAAATACTGAGAACCAACAATTGCAGCAACAACTTTCAACTGCCCCTGATGGTCCGGCGTTGCTTTCTCTTGGCAGAGAACAGCAGTATGCAGCAATCCAGTTATCTCATTATGTATATACTTTGCTCTGTATAATTTCGCAGTTGATGACGACAAATGAAAGGTAAGCGTTCGTGATGAGAATTCACGAATTGAAAATTTTACTGAGAATTTTTTTAAAAACAGTTATGCAATGTTTGGTAAAACTATAGAAATTTTATTATTCATTTCTTGTTCATCATGAAAGTAGTTGATAAAACATAGAATATTCTACTGTTAACTATTGCATGAACTCTAATCGGACCTGTTTGTATTGAATTAACCTAGCACTACTTTTAATTGATAAATTGAATTATCAATCAATAAATTGATGGATGTAGCTGTTACTACGTGGTAAGAAATCATCATGAAGAAAAAGGAGTTTTTACCACTTTTATTTGTAACTAACGCTACTGCAGTTTCGTCCTATAAGGACATTTTCATACTTATACATTAAACTAACAATGGTTCATTATATAAGGCCTAATGTTAGTTTAATGTATAAATTTGAAAATATCCTTAAAACACGAAACTGCAGTAACGTTAATTACAAATAAAAGTGGTAAAAAACATAGAAAGTTTCAATTCCCCTTTTCTTCTGAATTATAAATCTTTCGAATATTGACAAGGAATACATAAACATATTTTGTTTTTTTTTTTTCAGTTTGCAAGCTCAAATGGTGACTTTGAAAGGAGGAGCAGATTCAAAGTGTAACAGACACAATCAGCAGTTGGAGGAATTGAGAAACTTGCAAGACAAACTGAGTGTAGAAAAAGCAGCTTGGAATGCAACGAAAGAACAAGAAACAAAAGAATTGGACGAGAAAAAGGCTGAGCTCTTGAGGTTGCAGGTAGGTAATGGCCATTTAGTTATTTGATGTTATTTTTCATTTTTCAATCTTATCAGATAGAAAAAAAACAATATGAATTTGTTTATGTTTATGTTTCATTAACATTTTATAATAGAATTATAGTCTTATTACTTGTAATGACTTGAGAATGGTTCATTTTTGTTAATAACCACAAAGGTAGGAATATTATAATACCAATATTCTACTTTGGATGCTGCAAAAAGTAGGTAGAATTTCCATCCAGTATCAATTGAAAATAGTTGTTCGGAAGTTATTCACATGTCAATTACTTTCAGGTCAGGAACTTCTGAAGTTCAACTAATTTCATTCTTTTGAATTCAACTCTTTAAAAATCAAAATATCGATTTTTCATATTATCTGGTGATCATCTTCCTATTTCCACAGATATAAACTGTTTTTTTCATAGAATGAAACAGGCAACAACAAATATGTTTCGTCATTATGGTTCGACTAGTTGACGGCTTTTTTCATACTATGTGCACCAAATGTTCAATGAATAAACTGTCGTGTCTTTAGGATTGCCAGCCAATGTATTGAATTAGATGTGACAGACGAAACCAAAGTAGTCAAATGTAATAACTCTTGTTTCACATGATTAGCTGTAGTGTACCACAGGGTCAGGTCTTGACCCTTTACTACTTTTTCTGTTGTGAATGATCTACAATATTTCAATGTTCATGTAACCATGTTTGCTGATGACACAACATCACGACATCTGATCAGAATGTGACACAGCTTAAATAAATTATAAAAGGTAATGAATCAATGTTGTTCTTGGTGTCAGAGAAATAATTTTGAACACATCAAAATAGGTATTAGTCAAATTGTTTACTCAAAAACTGTTACATGTAAGTTTGCCTTTGTATATATAAGCAATTATGCAAATTTTAATTAAGTGAGGCATTGTATAAACATTATTACAGCTTGTCAAATCTAGGAAGCAACTTCAAACTCTCGGCTTGTATTATGATTCATATTGAACTGTGTTGCCCATAATGTGAAATATATTTGTGATTGCAGGAGCAAGTTCGAGCTGAACAAGAAGACATTAATCAACAAAGGGAGCAGCTGTACCGTAAAATGGAAATGCTGACTAGTAAGGGATTGCTGATGAATGTTCCTTTGCCCTCTTCGGGAATGGCTGATGATAGTAGCAAAGAAACGTCAGAGGACAGTAGTCCACAATCCGATACGTCCTCTTCTGCTAGCGCGGTTAGTTCCAGTGCCTCGATTGTTAGTACCAATCAGTCGTCGTTGACACATTCGACTTCTTCAGCTGAGAGGAGGAAAGACCCTAAATGGACGAAGGGTAAGTGTAAAGAGAAAGGAATTGTCAGTATATCAGGTGTTTCCAACAATGCATATTTGCTCGATGTATTGATAATAGAAACATGAAAAAGAGTATTATTTAAATGAAATTCAGAGGCTACACCACTCCGTATTTTTTTGTAAAAATTAATAACTTGGCACTAGTGCATTGTGCCTCGATTTAGTTCTGAGTTAGGGAGGATGCGACTATTTCATAAGTAATGGAATTGGTTGATATTTGACGAAAATCCACTATAAAAGTTTACAGAATCCAACAAGTGTTTCACTCTACAATAACATCCGCAGGTGTGTTCAATACAAACTTCATTGAAGACACCTGAAGAAGCTATTGTTTAGTGAAACAGGCTTTGCATAATTTTTCACTAACAGTGAAATACTGTTTAGTGAAAATCTCACAGTGTTGTCAAAGAATGATTGTTCCATTTGAAAAATATTTTTTGGTTATTATGCAGTGCCCTGTCAATCAGAAACTATTTTTAAAATGTACTTCCTCCGATGCCATATAACTTTTATGTACTTTTTTTAGCATTATTGATGTATCATGCAAATACACAACTTTAGGGCACCTGGCATTTTCATCCCCCCTTTTCTTATTGCACAAACATAAAACACTTTTTGTTTTTTGGGAAAGAAATGAAGGAAATAACTATTTTCAAAAGAAGTAAGTCTTTATACATGCAAAGAAGTAACTTTCAGACACAAACTGGAAGAAAAAGCCCTTCTGAAACAGCTACTTTCATATAAACATTGAATTACGCGAAATAAAAATTATTTCGCAACAAATACTTTTATATGAACACTGAATTATACAAAAAACCCTTTTCTGTACTTAGTTTGTATTCCAAACATTCGTTATGGAATTGAGTCAGATATCATTCACAAGATTCCTACACAATATACTGAATGAAAGGTAAAAATTTCACTTATATGGAACACTGCATCCTCATTGGTAGACATTGATTTTTCGCCAGAAGGCACTTGTCTTAAAGCTTTTTAGTACCAATCTGGATAACATTATAAGAAAAAACACGCAATTCATTCATAAAATTACGACTTTATGTCACGAAATAAGTATTATCTATTCATTTCATCGATGACATCGTATTGACATTTATTCGCTCATTTGATCAAATCCCAGCCAAAAGAATCTTGCTTGAATTGAAAGGGGTATATTTTTAGGAGGGGTTAATTTTTTGAGAAAAAAAGGTTTTGGCCTTCTACCTCTCCATCTTGATACAAAAAATGTGAGAATCTTCAAAAGAAAGGAATAAAGCAAAACAGTATTTCTTTACAAAGATGTATTGTAGATCATGCAAAAAAGTAACTTTCAGACGTAGAGAAAAATGCCCTCTTAAAATAGCTACTTTCATATAAACATTGAATTACACGAAAGAAAAATACTTTCGAAACAAATAGTTTTATATGAAC